GAACAACGAACGGAGCCGTAGACCCCATTATGCTGCGCCAGTTTTCGAACCGGATCGATCCGTGATGATCCCCGGGCCCGCAACAGGGCAGAATCGACCCTTGTGCAAAACAAGCGATGCCCGCATCTCAAGGAAAACCCGCCGACCCCTTATGGGTCTCTAAGCGTGCGAGATCCCGTCGGGGACGCCGGACTGGCAATTTGCCCCCCCCCTCCCCCCCCCTTTTGGGCCTGGGAAGACCCACCCCCGAACTCACCCGGGGGGGGTCCAGCCCTCCCCGGGCTCCCTGTGGAGCGCCAGGACAACCCCCAAGGCCTGCGAAAAAAACCCCGGAGGATCCAAGAGGGCCCAAACTTGCCGAAATATCGCTCCAAGCCGCCCAAGATGACGTCCACACTGCTCAAGATGCTTCCGAAATGCCCCAAGAGGCCTCTAACAGCCTCCCCCAGAGGGCCGTCAGAATCCAATATCGTCCTATTCCCAGTCGCCTCTGGGGTGTCAGTACGTCCTAGACGGCCCACGAAGTCCCCACGAGGGCTCCAGGACGGCCCGACATAGCCCCAAGACGGCAAAAGAACCCCCAAGCCAGCCGAAAAGGGCCCCAGGACGGTACCCCAAAAGAGCCCCAGAAGCAGGCCCGACCAGAAAGTTCGACCCGGTGGCCCCAAAACGCCCCCAGGTATTCCCAAGAAACAACCAAGAAGCCCCAAGGAGCCCCCCGGGAACCCCAAGAAATCCTCAAAAAGGCCACCGACACCTCCCCAGGAGGCCCCTCAGAGGCCAAAAAAACTGGTTCCAACACGCCCCCAAGAGCCGTTCCACGAGACCCCATGAGCTATCCGACTGGCCTCAAACCCACAACCCCGTTCGCGGTCTGGGTGCCCGAGCGCTGCCTCGAAATCGAAATCGTCCAGGACGGCTTCCGGAGGCCGAAGTTCACGCCCGCAAGCCACATCCCCACGACCGTTCCTTCTACACCATTCCCTCCTCGTCCTCCTCTAACTCCTCCTCCTCCTCCTCCTCCTCCTCCTCCTCCTCCTCTCCTCCTCTCCTCCTCCTCCTCCTCCTCCTCCTCTCCTCCTCCTCCTCCTCCTCCTCCTCCTCCACCTCCTCCTCCTCCTCCACCTCCTCCTCCTCCTCCTCCTCCTTCCTCCTCCTCCTCCTCCTCCTCCTCCTCCTCCTCCTCCTCCTCCTCCTCCTCTCCTCCTCCTCCCCTCCTCCTCCTCCTCCTTTGCCCCCTTCATTTCCCATGCCCACCTCCTCCCTCCTCCTCCTCCTCCTCCTCCTCCTCCTCCTCCTCTTCTCCTCCTCCTTTTTCCTCCTCCTCCTTTTCCTCCTCCTCTTCCTCCTCCTCCTCCTCCTCCTCTTCCTGCTGGCCCTGCAGCCCCGATCATCCGCGCGCTGCCCGACGCTTCAGCGGGTTTCGCGCGCACGACATACACTTCAGGGTGCCCTTTTGGCGCGCACATTCGACATGCTGTCCAACGACGAACTTGGGTTTCGGGAGATTCCTCTTGCGCGCGCCGGAACACTCGTACGCTTGCCAACTGCGCGCCGCGAAGCCGAGGTCCACGCAGACTGCGCATACAACTGTACTCTTCCCCGTGAAGTGATCACTCTCCTGTCTGTCGTTTATGTGCTCCTGCCGCGGAACCTTCTTCTCGCACGCCGCGCACGTCAATTCTCGCGCAAGCCGCTTCGCCGCCTCGGCGACTCCATTCGAAGTGCTGCCACGCTTGCTACAAACTCCACACACCACGCGCGCCTGCCTCGTTTTTCGATGATCTTCAACTTGCCCTTTCTTTAGACGTTGCGTGTCCACGAGAACTCCCCCGCACGCCGCGCACGTCAGCGCCTTCGCTTCCGCCTCCGCTTTCCTCTTGCGGCTCGCTGCCTTTGATTCGCTCTCCGCGCCGCTTCCTCCCTCTCCTCCGCGCAGTTTCGGCAAAGCCTCTCCCCAGCTACGTTGCGTTTCTTCTGCGTTTCCGACACGGCCGCCGACTCGTGAGAGAAAAAAGAACAAACAAAAAGCACGCGTCGCTCGAACACCGCATTGTTCGGACACTGTCGTTCCAGCTCGCATACCCCCTGCGCGCATTCATATTGGCTTTCACATGCGCGCATCTCGCGCAATACATGGTCCGAATCCTTTGGCTTTGCCCCTCGTCGCCCAGCGCCTTCCCGCCCAGCTCGCCAACCCGCAACGCGGGCCCCTCCTCGTCTGCGCAGCTGACCCAACAATTGCACGTTTTACAACACGTTCCGCCCGCGCTCCTCATCTACACTGTGCATTATTTGCAAAACGCTGGCCTCTCCTCCCTCTGGAACTCGTACTTCGAGAACGCCTCTACAAGAAGCCTGCGCCGGCACCGCTCGCACTGGTCTCGCGGCATTCGAAGCGCAGGCCCCGCGGGGGCCCTCAGAAAATCCATCCTCTGCCGGGTGGACACTACAAAACTCTGGCGGGTTCTGTATTGTCCACACCGGAAAAAGCCGTCATGTTGGCCGCGCGCGCCGACCAGGCGCCAGCAGGAGTTATGCCCGAAGTGTTAGGCAGACAACTTTAAGCAACCTCGCACATCAAAACCAAGCAATTCCCGTTGATATCCTCATGAGAAGATGCTTACAAATCCTCCCGCGTGTATGGTAGCCCACAACATATTTTCCGCTGGAGAAATGACCTCCAACCATTACCAAACCCGCCCAACAGTAGAGGGAAAGTAATCCCACATCGCCGCGCGCGCGCCGCCGATCAGGCGCCAGCAGGAGTTCTGCCAGCAGTGCTAGGCAAACAACTTTGAGCAAACTCGCGAATCAAAGCGAAGCAACTCTCATTGAAATCCTCATGAGAAGATGATTAATCCTTCCGGGTACAGGGTGACCCACAACGGATTATTCCGTTGGAGAAATAACCCCAAACACTACCCAGTTGGCCCAAGAATCGAAGGAATACGATACCCGCCGCGACGAGGAGGTTTTAGGACCAGTTTTAATTCCCCGCCGAAAGATCGGGGGGGGGGGGGAAAGACCTCCTGCGGTCCTGTGGCCTACCGTCGCCGTTTGCGTTTTCCCAGCACCGACGGGGGCTCAGGATAGGCGCCCCCAGAACCAATCCAAGACGGCCCAAAAGTACGGCCCACGAGAATATCAAACCTGACAACACCGAACAAAATACCCCCGCGGCGGCAGAAGGAATACCTCCAAAAAGCTGGAGGAAGACTGATAAAACTTCCGCTGGCCCCCATACACACACACAAACAAACAAACAAACAAACAAACAAACAAACAAACAAAACACCCCAAACAACGCAACCAAGATACACAGCAAAGGCTCCACTGACGCACCCGAAAGACCATGGGGAACGAACTATAACAATCAAGGGATCGGCGGATGCGGCGCAATTCTTGTAGAATCAACGTCGCCCAATCGGTCGCCGATCTGGTGCCGCTTTCTGGCGGTGCATAGAGGGGGGTAGGGGCAGGGGAGAAGGCTTCCCAGAAGGAGGCTGCTTCTTAGCAGGCGCCGGCCTTGCATTTATAGATAAGGCCCGCGCCTTCTAAGAAGCAGGCTCCTTCTGAGAAGCGTTCCCCCTCCCCCTACCCCCTTGTGCGCGCCGCCAATTGTCCGTGCATAAATGGGTAAGGGGGCGGGAGAGGGTCGTCGGGGTCGTCATCGTCGTCGACGTCGGAGCAGTGGAGGGGGCACTGGTGAAAAGCTGCATCCGCGGCCACCAGAGAGAAGCTGCTACGGGCGCACGACGAGGACCATCGCCTGCGCTTGCAGGAAAACGGGAGCACAGGAGCCGGCAGCTGGCTCCTCCCGCGCGAGCCAGACGACCCCCGCAAACCAGATTCGCCCTTCTGTAGCAACCTCAAGCGCCGGCTCTGCGTCCTGGTCTGTCCGGCAGGATCCCGCTGCCAGCACAGCCGCCTGGACGGAAGCCTCTGCAACGAGCCCGTTGACCCGCACGGCTGACACGCGCTCAAGCGTGAGGTGGGCGCGTCGCGCAGCAACCGCCACAAAAGTTGCCAAGCCTGGCACTCGGCGAAGCACAAGGAGCTCACAGGCTTCGCGGCGCCCACGGAGCAGGCCGTCCCAGCCTGGGACCGCCGCCACCCCCGCACGGGCGAGCTCCAACAGGCGGTGCTCGACCTCTCCTTGAGCGACCCGGCCAGCGGCCGCCAGATCTTCATCGACTGGAGCATCACCTGCGTACAATCAACCTACGCTCCGGAGCTGGCTTGGACGACGGCGACCGCTCCGAGCTGCCAGGCGGCCTCTGGCGGCAGATCAGCAGGACCCTCCAAAGAGGGAATGCTGAGATGCTGCTGAGCGCGCTCGGGCGCTAGGACACCAGGAAGACGACCACAGCCACCTGCAGGGCACGCGGCGCGACCACCGCCAGCACTGCGACCGCGACGACCGCCAGCACGACAACCACCACGACCATCGCCACCACCACGGCCACCACCAGCGGCAGCGCGACGATCACCACGACCACCGCCCAGGATTGAGTCCGCGGTCACAGCGCCGACGGCCACGGCCACGACCACAACCACGCCCGCCCCGAAAGCCCCCGCCGCCCGCAGTCCCTCTCTATCCTTTCCTCTCGCCCCTTCTGGGCCGCCTCTGCTTCCATGCGCGCCCAGCACGCAGCCCTCCCTTTCCTCCTCTTCCTCCTCTTCCTCCACCTCGCGCGCGAACTCGAATTCGAGCGACTCGCATGTCGTCGCCGAAGGTGACGGCCCTGCGGGCAGGCCCTCTGTTCCGGCCTGCTCCTGGGCTCCCCTGCGGGGGTGCCGGTCCCTCTTTCGAGGGCCTCCAGGGCCGTGGCGACAGGCAGGGAGGGAGGAAGGAGGGAGGGAGGGGGAGGGAGGGGGGAGGGAGGGAGGGAGGGAGGGAGGGAGGAGAGGAAGGGAGGGAGGGAGGAGGAGGAGGCGGAGGGACATGAGGAGGAGGCGGAGGAGAAGGACGGACGGGGGGGAGGCAGGAAGGGAGCCTTGTCGCCGCAGTCGCGGAGGTCCACGGCTGGCAGGTAGGCCACGGGCGGCAGGTCCTGGGGCGGGGGGCGGGGGGCCTCGACCGGCGCGCATGGGGGACCCCGGCCCGCGCACTCACCTCCTCCTCCTCCTCCTCCTCCTCCTCCTCCGCCTCCTCCTCCTCCTCCTCCTCCTCCTCTGCGCCGCTGGCTGCCCAGCGGCAGGCCACCCTGCTGCAGGCAACAATGATAGTACACGTCGGTCGGCAGAAGTAGGCAAAAACATAAAGCAGGGAGGCGGCTAAAGCAGATTGGGCTCAAGCCCTCCCCGAGAATGTCAGAGCACAGCAACGGCGCATCGGCTGTTGAAATAGGAAGGCGATTGAAGCATATTGGGATCTGGAAATCCGAAAATCGGCCGACCCTGTCTGCGTGTGGAAGACGCATCCCTGTGTCGTCGTCTTGCGTGGATCACCGTCGTCGTCGTCGTCGCCGCCCGAAATTCGCCGGCACAACGGGCCAGAGGCGTGCTAAGATCTCCAGTAACTGCTCAACAATATTTCTGAGCCGCGCGCGCGGGGCGGGCCCTGGGGGTCCCCGGACGAAAAATACCCTGGCAAGGTCCCGGCAGGGTCCCGGCAGACTCCCGGCAGACTCCCGGCAAGGTCCCTTTTCGGAGCCCAGGAGGGCTCCAAACGGTCCAAGAGAGGCCCGAGAAGCCCTCCAGACGGTCCAAGAGAGCCGGGAGACGCCGAAATATCACTCCCAAACGCCTGCGATGGCCTCAAGACGGCCCAACAGGCCTTCAAGACGCCCCAAGAGGTCCCTAAGCGGCGCCCCAAGAGGGCTCCCACAAGCAAAAATCGTCCCATTCCCTTAGGAAAACGTGCATGTTTAACATATCCGCCTCTTCGTCTTTCACACCTTTCAAGGCGGTCCAAGAGGCCCCCAAGATCACCCCAAGACGGCCCGAGAGACCCTCAAGACCGCTCAAAGACGGCCCAAGAGCGCTCCAAGAAGGCCCAAGAAACCCTCAAGAACTCTTTTTCGGAGCCCAGGAGGGCTCCAAATCGGTCCAAGAGGGGCCCGAGAAGCCCTCCAGACGGTCCAAGAGAGCCGGGAGACGCCGAAATATCACCCCCAAACGCCTACGATGGCCTCAAGACGGCCCAACAGGCCTTCAAGACGCCCCAAGAGGTCCCTAAGCGGCGTCCCAAGAGGGCTCCCACAAGCAAAAACCGTCTCATTCCCTTAGGAAAACGTGCATTTTAACATATCCGCCTCTTCGTCTTTCACACCTTTCAAGGCGGTCCAAGAGGCCCCCAAGATCACCCCAAGACGGCCCGAGAGACCCTCTAGACCGCTCAAAGACGGCCCAAGAGCGCTCCAAGAAGGCCCAAGAAACCCTCAAGACGGTCCAAGAGGCCCCAAGACGGCCCCATGATTGAGGTCCACAGGGGCAACCTGAACGGAATTTTTGAGCCTCCCGCCCAAACACGCCCCCGAAATGCCCCGGAAGCTCCCAAGTAGCCCCACGAAGCCCCCAAGAGAGCCCAAGAGGCCCCCAACAGGCCGCAAGAAAGCCCCAAGAGGCCCCCAAGAGACCCCCAGGAAGCTCCCAGGAGGCCCCCAAGAGGCCAGGCAGACCCCCCCAAGAGACCACCAAGAGGGCCCACCCAGAGCCATCCACGAGGCCTCCCAAAGTTCCCAAGAAGGTCCCACGAAGCTTCCAAAGGCTCCCAAGACCCCCCAAGAACCCGCGATGGCACAATACGGGCCGGCGGAATGAGCGAAGCGATTCAATAAAAGGAAATCGAACACGAAACATAAGGAAATCGTAGTCGTGGCGAAGCCCCTCCCTACCCTCCCCACCAGGTGGGGGCGGGGGGGCAGATACGCATCCCCCTGTGGGCGACCCTCTCCCTCCCTCTCCCCCTCCCCCTTCTCCTCCTCCTCCTCCTCCTCCTCTTCCTCCTCCTCCTCCTCCTCCTCCGCCTCCTCCTCCGCCTCCTCCTCCGCCTCCTCCTCCGCCTCCTACTCCTCCTCCTCCTCTTCCTCCTCCTCCACAATTACTCAATATGAATACTACTCTCCCTCTTCCCCTGATGACGGCTTGAAAGTGTTAGCCCCCCCCCCCGCGTACTGTATTTTTACACACGGATTCCCCGGAGTTGGGTTTTCGCATGCATTTGTTTCCAAAATGCTGCTCTCGCTGAGGCGCCGGCCTCATTTTCGGGCCCCGCTCGTTCCGAATCGTGCTCCCGCTGAGGCGCTCGCCTCATTTCCGCGCTTCCGCTCGTTCCGAATCGTGCTCCCGCTGCAGCGCTGGCCTCATTTCCGCGCTTCCGCTCGTTCCGACTCGTGCTCCCGCTGCAGCGCTGGCGCCATTTCCCGTGCCATGCCACGGCATGCAATGCAATGCTAGGTTGATACTACGCTTTGCGGTGCTCTTCTACGCCATGCCATGTCGTGCCCTACAATGCATCGCGTACCCTTTCGGGATCATTGCCCTGCTCGACATCCGACTATGCGAGTAGAGAGGGGATCTACGCCATGGTAAGG